CGAAGCGCTAGCCCTTCTTAAGTCTCTTAATAAGACGTACTAGCTTATCTAGGGAAGCCCTTATAAGGTTAAAGTTTATACCGACCATGTTACCCTAGTTATGATTATAACTAATGATAACGCTTACGGCCGTCTATTACGTTAGTAACTACGGTTTATAGAATACAACCTTAACGTAAAACACGTCCCTAGTAAGAATTTAGTAATAGCGGACGGTCTTTCCCGGTTATTATAATCTCGTATATATGTAATTAGAAATAGTCTAGAAGTTAAGGACCTTATCGCGTTTAATGTCTATGCATGCCCTACCTCTAGCTATACGGTTAGCGACGTAGACCCCGATTCTAAGACTTATATCTCTATTAAGGACGAAGACCGATAGGGGAAATAGTTATACTCCGATTAGTATCGAGACGCGTTACTACTTAAACTTACAGGCATTATTTCTAACGAGAAATTATAGTCACGACCGCGACTCCGGATAATACGATAGTAGGTAAAGTCTCTTCTAATAGTTGGTACCTTACCGCTAGTACTCGCTATACTAACCTATAAGGATAAACGAGTTAAATATATAGTCGAGCACGAAGTCCGTTAGGCGATTAGGGCATGTTATAATATTAGCGGGTACTTCGCCTCTAAGATTACTAAGGCGAAGGTCCGTCGGCGTTTCTATTGGTCTACTATTATACGAGATATTATTATCTTCTATTAAGAGTACCTATACTACTAATTCCTTAGGCCTCTCTGGCCGAGTAGAAGTATCTTACTAATTCTCTAGATATAGCCCCTCGACTTAATTAGCATGGACTATATTAGGCCTATTACTCTAGCTAGTCCGGCTAGCGAAAAATATATCTAGATTAGTATCGACTACATAACGAGGTTTCTATTTACCTAGGCTAGGGTAATAGCCACCTTATAAGACACCGTCGAATGCATAGTAACTAGTATTATGAACATTTTCGGGTTCCCTCGCGTAGTATATATAGATAATAGAAGTTATTTTATAGAGGGTAGCTTTCTAAAGATACTCGCGTAGAATAATATAAAGTACTTTAACGCTCTAACTAGCCACCCCTAGTCCGTCGGGCTTTCTGAGTAGTATATCTAACTTCTTCTATAAGTACTTCGAAGTATACTTTAGATAGGGCTATAAGCGATCTAGAATTAGCCGGACTACATTCTAAGAGTAGTACTAGAAATTAATAATCGGCTAATTAAGGTCGAGGGTTTTTCCCTCTTTTAACTTTTACTTGGAGGGTATACCTATCTTAGGTAATAATTATCTATTATTAACGATATTCGCTTAGCCGCGCTATAGAAAGAGCTTAGGGCTAAGATAATAGTCCCTATACAAAGTACTATCTCTTCTAATAAGTACTCCGATTATCTCGCTAGAATTAATAAAGCCTATACCTACGGACTCTAAAAGCGTCTAATATAGTAGAAGCGTCTTACCGAACGGAGTAGGGTATACTTCCTAGAGCCTACGGTTGGTAGCCTAGTACTCTTATACCGCCTCCGATAAGATAAGGAGAAGAGATATAAGTTTAAGCCTCGTTAGGAGGGTCCTTATAAGGTTATAAAGATTTCCTTAAATGGGTAGAGTATATAGCTCCGCGTAATCTACTTAGGAAAGGATGTCGGGAAGTACTCTATAAACGATGTTAAGCCGTTTATAGTTCTAGTAGACGAAGATAATAATTCCGGTTAGTAAACGATCGCGGAGACTAACGATCTTATCTAGCGCAATCTCTATAGATTTTTATCGTGACTACGCGCTATGAAGAAGATTCGGATAGAAGAGAATATCCTCTAAACTAGAGACGGCTATGAACCCCTACCGGAGAACCCTAAGAGTAAGCTCCTACGCGAACTCCGGAATAGATACCCTTATACTAAGTACGATACGTCCCGAGCTTCTATATACGGGTTCGTAGAAGAAACCGCGTATTAGGGACTTAAGGCCGTTAATCTCGCCAAGCTAATAATATCGCCCGACTTATAATAACCCCATCACCTTATGAAATACTAGAGTATGATTAAAAATAGTTATACCTTATAGATAATTATTACTACCGTGCTAAGGGTTAGCGGTTTCTCTATCGAAGCCTAAATAGAATTTTAAAACTATTACGTTTATAGAATATAATTACCGCGTTAAGATACGTCTCTACATTTAGAAGTACGGCTAGTAATAGTATATCTTTCCTAAGCGAGGCCCCTATTCTACGGTTGGTAGCATTTATCTTTAGAGTTACTAGCTTAAGATTATTACCAGCGAACGGTCACGCCGTTACGGTATATATTAAGCAAGGGATAAAGATAGTTACTACCCCTGAGTTCACGAGATAGATAAAGTACCACACGCTTACCTTTAACATCTTACCTTTACCTTCGTTTACCTATCTTTTTAGACGTTCTATTCCCTCTATACCGTTTCGTTATATCTCCTCTTTAACTAAATCATTTCTATAGCTACTATGAGTTCTCTAGAGAGAGTAGATACCCTAGTCGACGCGAACGAAGATGAATTTTTAGATAGTAGACATAGTTTACTAATTATCTATAACTTCGAAGCTAAGGACGATAATAAGGAGCCCCCAATAGCTAATCCACGTAACTACGTAGTAATTAGCTAAATCGAAATGTATAAGAACGAAGACTAGTACGTTAAAGAGAGTAAGCTTTATACTTAGCTTCTCTAAAGCTCCTTATTCCTTTAACGTAACCGATGCTAGTTGAAATACTTTACGCTTAAACTTAACGCGAACATTTATAAGCGGAAGTAGAACGAATAGTCTAATACTAGCTACGAGGAGCTTAAAGATAAAATCGTCTAAATAATTACTAGTATCGCCCTCGTACTACGCACTTATATAGGCTCCTAAGACTAGATTACTAAGTATATTTAGTGCGGTCGTGCCGCGGAGGTGCTATTAAGTAAACTTATTCTAGCTAGAGAGTAATACTAGCATCTAATACTAGAAGACCTCGCGGAGGATTCTAAGGAAATCGCCCGCGATAACTATACGCTATCACACGGTAATAGCACGAAAGAAATCGAGGAGACTTTATCTAGCCATAAGGTAATGAAAGCGCTAGGGAACCGAGAACCGAACGAGCTTAGTAAAACAAGTAGCGCGATAACGGTTGCACTAGTACCAACCGTTATAGAAAATATAAACATGGTCGATAATAGCGAAGACGAGGGTAGCGACAACGAAACTTCGGACCTTAGCATGGTTTTCGGTAGTAAGTATACCCTAGTAGACCGTATAGCTATCCTTAAGCTACTCTACGGCTCTCTAAAACCTACGCTCTAGAAGAATAAGGAGCCTTACTTTAAGCACTAAGGGCGACTCTATACAAAGTACTACCGGGCGCTATTTACTAGAGATAAGAAGGGAAAAAACATATTTATAAAGAAGTACTAGACTAGTTACATAGGTATGGATATTAATAAGAGGGAGGTAGCCCTACGCCACGAGACTACTTTTAATATCTAAGGTAAAGTCCGTAAACGTTAATAGAAGGTATGGCGTTAAGGGCACATTCTAGACGATAAAAATAAAGGTAAGTTCGCTCTAATTTCGAGTCTTACACGCTATAAGCTCTCCTAAATAGGGGCTAAGAGGATACTTAATTAGGCGGTACGAAGCTAGGTATTTAACGCGGCTAAGGAAAAATTCCGTGCTAGAGACGAAGTAAAGTCTCTATAGAATAGCTAGATTTAGTACTTAAAGGAGAAGAATAATCTTAACGATCTTAAGCGCTAGCTACGTAAAGATTTCCTTCGATAGTAGGGGGAAGATAAGAAACGCCTCCTTAAAAAGAAAGCGGCCCTAAATAAAGCTCGAGATAAGTTCATCTAAAGGCTTAACAAAGCTAAGGGTAAGATACTCTAATTAGAAGAAGAACGTAATAACACGCGGAGGAATGTCTAAACCCTTTAATCTATCCTTGGCACGCTCTTAACGGGAAGTTTAGACGCTATTCTTACTAAGTATAAAACTATAAACCGTAGTAAGGGACCTAGTTATGAAATAGTAGTAGGTGGAGCTATGGTTAGTAATATGTCTACCTAGCCGTAAAAAACGATGATTGAAGAGAACATACTCTTAGGTCTTGTAATGTAGGTAACCGAGCCATTGAGGATGGCATTTTCGAGCACCTTTACTAGCCCTTACCACGCCTTACCGCGGAATGTTTCCCCCATGATAGTTTAGAACCTAATGTTTTTTACTAAAGACAACCTATATACGGAGGTTGTAATAGTAATATAATAAGACCCGGCAAATGAGAAATATAATATCTCTATAGTTGGCGAAGAACGGGGGATTGAAATCGGATAAGTAGCTTAGAGAAGAAAATGATAACTATAGCGTAAGAGAGTTACAATTAAACCGACTCTAGCTTTAACCGTATCGCGGAGGATTAGGTCTATAGTTAGTACTATATATTAGAATAAATACTACTTTTAGTAGGGTAAATCTAAGGATAAAATAGAGGGGGGGGAGAAGAGAAGTTAGAAAACTCTAGGAACTTAGGACTTAGGCGTTTAACTTTTAAGGAAACATAGGGTTACATATATAAGAAGTTTAAGAGACATCTAATAACATATAGAGAGAGAGAAGGATATTACTCTAAGGGATTAGTACCTTAGTACTAACTTAGTAGATACCTTATGTACTCTAGCCTCTTCCTATAGATATCTACTAATATAATAAGAGATATAAACCCTATAGCACTTGGAAGCTAGAGGAGCTAAGGTACATTAGAGAGAATAATAAAGAATAAACTCTAAGAGATGTCTATCTCTTATATCGGTCTCTTCTAAGATAATATTATATTAGCATTTTAGAAGAGCTTTAGAATTGAATTATAATTTTAGTTATTATAAATTACCTAGTCTATAAGAAGGTATATAGAGCGTAGATATATAAATTTATACTTTTTTTTAAATATATAATTATTAGTATAGATAAATATCAAGAGTTATACTTAAATCAAATGGTTTATTAGTAGGTTAGCTAATTAGTAAGTATATTAACTTATTAATAAACTAACATAGAGCCGAACCTCTTCGGTTGAAATCCCTAATCTGGTCGGCACAGCTAGCAGCAAGGATTTAGCGTCTAAGCTTGGGTCGCGACTTACCAAAGTCGTGCAACAAATGCTTCCGAACCACATTTCTAGCTTCAGACAATCTATCTTCGAGTCATTCAATACTTGCTCAACCTGATTACAAGTTCCCTCTTATCCAAGGATGCCCAAGCAACTCCTTCGCGGTCCACCGATCCTCAGGCCTCCACTGCAACATGCACCTCACAAACTGCAAGAATTCTTCCTTTTTTTCTCCGTCCAGATTTTCTTCCGAGCTCTCCAACGTCAAGCCTTGCGGTATACATGTATCGGCTAACCAATTTCCTAATAGAACTTCGGTTAGCTTAAGGCGGTACGTTGGGCGTACAGTCTCACCTTCACCATCGAAAAATTCTTTACTCCGCGCTCCTCTCTCTAGCATATCCGTCGGCGGCGGACCGAGCATCGCGACTAGTTCCGCGAGATGAGCCCTGGTCATGTATCGGTTTTCAGCTGGATCGATGCCGTAGAAGAGATGTTTACTCTCGTAGAGGTCCCAAATCTGTGCACTTAGGTCAATGTCTGGTTTCGCCTCAGGCTTGAGACGGTACGCACCATCGCTCCAACGTTCCAGATATCAGCTGGATAACCCCATTCAGTCTTCAGCATGACCTCTGGGCATCGGTAGACATCTGGTTGCGCGTGATGGATCTGAGGTTTGTCGCCACGAACTGCAGAGCCGAAGTCTCCAAGGACAACACGGCCATACTCTTTCGGCAACCCGAACTGGCGTGTCGCGTAGATTGGCTTGCCGTCCACGACTTTTCGAGGCGAGGGAGATGTCATTTCGGCGTCAACAAAGGCTTTCAAGATGCCCTGGTCCTCAATTTCTATGAGGATGTTGTCGGCTTTTATGTCTACATTTTTGTCAACAGAGTTGCGGGAAGACATGTGTTGAACCGTACCTGTATGTATGATCTTGGCTTCTGTATGAAGGTAATCGAGTGCGAGGAACACTTGCGACAAACCAGCTTTTAGCAGCTCGTCCGTGAAGCGGTGCGCAGGGTTTCTGTTCAAGAGATCCTTGAAACTATCCCACATTGGTGTCTGGACAAGACATCGATGATCGCCACCTTGTCGGGGAATAGTAAACAAGTCAAGAGCTGTCCGGACGTGATTGTACCCTGGATGCGAAGCATTGCCTTGGCTTAAGATACTGTACATGCTGTACTCATCTTCATCCATTCCCTCTCTTATGAAAACTTTCAAGGTCGTGTAAGCATGGTGACTGGTGTACTGTTAGTATAGATAGCATAATTGCCGAATGGTAACTTGCTTCAGATCACGGGCCAGCCAAACAGTTGACGTAACACCAAAACCAAGTTTGCCTACTACTTGGTACTTCGACGCAAAGACATCTCCTATGTTGACCGGATAGTAGACACCCCTGTGGAACTCCTCAAGCTGTTCTTCTTCAAACAATACTGCGTCGCTAACGACTTCAAAACCGGATGTCGGAAAGTTGAGTTTGGGCCATGGTTGTCTTCGAAAGAGTGACTTCGCGAGTTTGAACATAGGGAAACGTGTAAAGAGCGTATCGTAATATAAAGTACTAGGGCGGAAGGCTGCAATCAGCCTTAAGTTTAAGGCTACTTTCCTAAAATTATATAGAGTAGAGTATTATAGAGTAGAGTATTATAGAGATAGAGAAAGTTATATAATATATCTATAATAATAATAATAATAATATTATTATTATATAACTAGATAGAGTAGTTTACTCTATAGATATATACCTTCTCTAGTCTAAGCTATTATTATTATAGAAGGTAATAAGAAGATAGATAATAGTAAGAACTATAGACTAAAGATTCTATATATATAGCCGTAGATTCTATAAAGTAGCTAGTAATTAATATATACTTAACTAAGATATAATAACTCTATTCTTAATATATTAGTAGCTAAAAGTATACTACTAGCTAGTTATTTTTAAAAGAAAGATAGTACTAGTTAAATATAAGATACTAATATCTAAATATACTAGTTCTCTAGAACTAAATTAAAAGATATTAATACTCTAACTTAGTAAATAAAAGATACTTCTATAAAATTTAGTAAAAGAAGTTTATAAATATAGTAAGATAATTAGTAAGGATAAAAGAATACTAGGTACTAGATAACATTTATTAATATTAATATTATTAAGACTTATAAAAGTATTAAATTATAAAAGAAAGTTCTAAGAAAGAAGCTAAGGAAATAGTAAATAAAGGATTTACTACTAGAGGAAAATAAATAGTAAATAAAGAATTTACTACTAGAGAGAAATAGAAATAAGTATCTATAGAAAGGCCTTATCTTATTCTAACTATACTAAATTTATAAGACTTATTCTAGAGAATTATATAAATATAGTATAAGTACTAGTATTTCTAAATAAGTTATATATTAAAAGAATTAAGCTCTCTATAATTCTCTAGTTTCTATTAAGTAAGAAATATAATACTATACTACGACTAGTTATACTTAGTACTAGCTAAACTCTACTTTATAGAAATAGTATATAAAGTCTTAGTTTCTATAAGCTACTAAGGTTAGAGTGTAAACTTAACCTCTACTATATCTAATAAGTTTATATAAGGTATTTCCTTATTAGGAATAGCTTAATATTAGTAATCGATATTACTAATATTATCT